TTTCCTTTCTTTTTTTTTTTTTTTTTGACTTTTCATTTCGACCTGATTGATTTCATACTAATGATGGAACATCAAAGTCGCATCACGTAAGCGAACGCATAAAGATCGCAAGACTAGTCCCTTCAGAGAAACGAATCTTACCGACGATCTGTCCTTATACGAGGCGGATACGCATTATTCAATCTGCTTTTTACGCGACCGGACCAAGGAATAATTGCGAAGAAGATACCATGTACAGGGATATCGTTCCAATTCCAAGAACATCTACATGTATAATGAAATGAACCATTATATCATTTAATAACAAGTGCTTATTGCGTGCTGAGAGATCATATATATAACTTTATAAATATTCCTTCTTTTCCATGTATATTACCCGCATTCATTTGCAATAGTTTAACACTGAAATGTCAGCAATGTATTAGTCATCATTTTAAATTAGTTCAGAGTTTCCTATTACTATTCCCTTTCTAAGTAAATTAATTAACTAGTATTACGTAACCAGTGCAAATTTTATGCTATTTGCTAAAAAGAAGAATAAAAATTTACTATTCATTTAAATTCATTATATCTTTTGTTACTTTGCAATAAAGTATTTTTGAGCATGAAGCTTTTCATAATATCTATTGGTAAATACAGAAAGAATGAAGTATGAAATGAGCAGTGAGATTAAAAACTAGAACTTGCACTTTTCAGGTTTTAATCAGATTCCCTCTGGAAGCTTGGAAATTTTGATCTACGTTATCCTTACAAACAAAGTACGCGAGCTTTCTCGCAAGTATTTCCATAATCTCTTAAAATAAGATGAGAAATTGAGAAAAGAATTTAAACAGAGGGAATGAAAAAGATTCATGCTTTTCTTTGTATTAAATTATATGGGATCGCGAAGAAATTAGAAATTTTTTTTTCGATAAGTAAAAAAAAAAGAATAGAATAGAATATCGAACTGATTATCATGCCGTAATGTTTAACATTATCATGGTCGTAGTTTCTACTGTCCAGATGCAATTATGATACATAATAATAAAGCAAATCACAAAACGCAAATCCATAAACGCCTCTATCTACTTCAACAAAATTTCCTCAATTTTCGTTGAAATAAATCATATTTTTTGTAAAACAAGTTTATAATAATGTTTCAACAATGATTAAAATATTATATAATATAAATGACACAACGTCAACCAATGAAATCTCGTAGTAAAGCTCAATAAGTGAAAGTCAACATCTTTCATGAGTGGGTTGCGCACAACTATGTACTAACTCATTAGTTATTCACTCTATATCATAGATAAATAATGAAACGATTAATTTCAATTCATTATTCAATTAATTGAATTTCAAATGTTTTTTTACATTCAAATACATATAATATTTCAATCGATTGATAATGCGAATAATTCTTGAAGTGAAATTTTACGAAGATGCAATCTTATTCGATGTAATCATATAATAAGCTCTCATTATACACATTGTTTTAAATTGAAAACGTTTTTCACGATTCTTCCTTCTTCATCTTCGAAGAAATCGTATTCTTACAATTTTATTATATCGAACAAATGACTGCAATCAAGAAGAACAATTGTATTTTTAGAGACAATTATGAAAGCTATTTTATATCTGCAGTCAAGAGACAATCAAGACAAGATCGATGGTTATCTAATGATCCATTTACTATCGCAACAAATCACGACATAACATAAACCTGTTCCCCAATATTAAGAATTCATTAGAAAGGAAAAAGTCTAGAATAATCTAGAATACACAACAAAATAATATAAAATAGTTTTAAAATCACTTAATTTAGTAGAAAAGATTCATAGAATAGATTCATAATAAAATTTCAAAGTTAATGGGATCTAATATAAAGATGTTAAAAATTTTAATTTTAAAAGTTTAGAGAAATTTCTAAGATTTCATGAATCGAGTAAAAAAATATTTTGAATTTGTTTATATCAAATATCAAATAATACAGAATTTTTTTAAAAGTTCTGATAAAAAAATCTTTCAACAGTTGGAGATTTCAAAGAGTTCTACGAAAATTTAAGATTTCAAAAACTTTCATAAATTTTTTGAAACTTCTGAAGCTCAAAACTCTTGAATCCTATTTAAGATCATAAATTTTGTAGATATAAAATTCCAAAAGTTCAAGGATCGAATCTTATAATCTAAATCTAAATATGATCTATTTTATGTATATTTTCTTGAATTTATATTTTTGAAAGCGTAACTCGAAAGTAAGCAAGAGTTTGTTACTACTAATATTTCAACGGTCCAATCTCCACAGAGTGAAACCAAAGAGAAATCTCTAAGACTGCATGCAACTTGAATATATATAATACAAAGACATCTTAACTTGTTCGTGCATGGTATTTCATCTAACGAATTTAATTTGCAATGAAAGTGACAATGTAAGAACTATTGTTTATTTACTTTCGGATCTTTTCAGTCTACGTTGCTCGACATATATTTTAATTTAGCCCAAAAAACACTTGAAATAAAATCTTTATATATACATGATCATTTGATTTTTGACATTGTAATGCACACACAATAATGCACACATTATAAAAGCATAAATACGAATCTGCATTGTCATTTCTAATACTAACAACAATGGAAATAGCTTATATGCTTGATGTGATGTTAAGTGGGCAAAAAAGTCATTATAAAACATCGTGCACGAGTAAACATGATTTTATAATTCTTGTTATACCTAAATTAAAATTATGTTGCGATCTATACATTCTAAAACAATAGCAAAAGTTTTTCCATCATCATTAGTAACATGTAGTTATTTGAACGTATAATTCATTTAATTATCAAGTTTTTAGTGTATTTAATTACATATAATAATGGATGATAAATATCTTATTCGCATATTTTTTCAGTAAAAGATATTTCTCTCTTACGAATGGAAATGAAGAAAGAAAACACTTTGAACTAATAGAATGTAAATAGAAAACTTAAGAATATGTAATTGCTCAACTATAAGTAAAAAAAAAATTGACGTACATATCATAAACATAATATACATTTCCATTTTAAATATACATAAATTATTACCAATGTGCTAACATTACAATGTCCTCAATTTTTGACAGTTTATATTAATAATGTTTAACAAATATTATCAATGACAAATAATTTTTTAACTATTGACAAATTTTCGTTCGAGCAACGCAATGAATACGTATTTTAAATATTATCTTTTACATATTTTAAATATCACCTTGTCACGAAATGCACCAAACATCCTGATACACGCATATTACGTACAATAGCTTTAAACAGGGACATTGTTCTTTTCGATGGCGGTTATAATGGGGGAATTAGGGGATAAAAATCCATTCATTAAAAATAACGTTTGAATGACAGATGAGGAGTTTAAGAAGCATGCTAATCATGCTTCGCCGGCTATTATCATGTATCATTATAGTATTGTTCGAAACAAACGAGCACAAGGTTTCCCGCGTTTTGCGGTTTGTTCCACGATGTACAAGCGCGCGCGCGAGTGAATAACCGAACGCTGCTCACGCACCGATCTATGAATCGTGGTTTGCAATAGAGACCGTATAGCCAACAAGCCTGTCAGAGAATGCACAATGTTGTGACCGAGTTAATCCAGAGAATTGCGCTTTCGTTCGATCCCGTTGCAACCAGACGAGGGGAAATTTCTATCGGTACTTTCTGAAGTAAAAGAGATGTCAATTCAATTTCTTTCTTCCCTCTCCGTTCGTTTTATTATTCTTGTTATTGTTCGATATAATTTATGGAAAGTGTACAATCTGAAATAAAAACAAAAGTGAATTGGACAGGATTGTAATGAGCCTCAAAAAATATTTGTCCACATTTATGTTTTTAAATTAAAATAATTTAAATTCATTAATATTTAAGTTCTCATTTACCTCTATATCTCGTTTCCATGAATAAAGATTTTTCACATTTGAAGCATAATACTTTCAAATGACAAAATTCAATATATTTGAATTTAATTAATAAATATCTGAATGAATAAAAATAACGATGTGAAAATATATTTTTATGCAATATTTAAATTTTTCAATTTATAAATTTTATATTTTATATCAGTTTCATAAATTATTTATTACATACTTAATGATAAATATATGTATGCATAAGGATAAAAAGAAAATTATATGCAAGTAAGTACATTTTATATATTCTTCAAAATATAATCATTTTCGATATTTTCGTGATATGAGAATACTGTCCTATATGAAAACCTAAAAATAAGAATACGAAGATACATACGATTAGTTAGTCGTATCGAAAGATACGATCATGCATACATGAATTATACATGATGAAATATTGTATGAGTCAACTGTGCTATTACATATTATACGTTATTTATATAAATAAAATAAAATTAAATATATTTTAATTTTAATTATTAATTTTAATTATTGAAAATCTTATTTTATTTGGAATAAGTATTTATAATTATTTAATACATAATACAAAACAAATACAAATATATACAAAATATATACAAAATTAAATATTCCATTTTATTCGGATTTCCAAAGAAAAAATATTTCTTTGGAAATAAATATTATATAATCCAATCAAAATTTTTTTACCTGGAATTTGTATGCATATATTCAAATATTTTTCGATAGAATGTGTTGTAATGTTCGTGTTTGGTGAACGAATCACCATAGTAACGTTATTCTTCTGTCCTAGAAATTCTTAGTTGAGTAGATTTCTACGTTAATATGTCAAATTATATATTGGTTTATTATTTTATATTTTTATTATATTATTATATCCGCATTCCTGTTCTAGAAATTGCCTATATCTAATATTGTTCGAAAATTCTTATGATATATTATATCACAAACGAATTTATTACACAAACTTAAAAAATATCACTAATAGATATTACTAACAAATATAAAAACATTAGTTCGAATATTATTTTATTTATAATAATAAATTTCATAATAAATAATATTTAACATGCTCAAGATATTCATTTCTGTAATAAATTCAAATGAATAATAAATTAAATTATTATAAATAGGTAATTATAATTCAAAATAAATTACGAATTAAATTACGAATAAAAAATGTATACTTTAAATCATTATATATAATTATATTAAAAAATCAAATCAGAGAAAAAAAGTTTTTCTAAAATATTTTAAAATATAACTTTTATATTGATAAATAATTATATTTTAAAAATAAAATTCAAATTCCAAAATACTTTTAAAATAGGTTATTATGAAGAACTTCTAACGATTTAATTTAATCCGTTACAATATCTATCGGTAATCGATTTCGAATCAGTTACCAATGTACCAATCAGTGACAAAGAAAGTTCACTAACTTTCAAACGTAAAGTTAATTCTCTAAAAAATTATTGTAATTCTTATTTATTAATTATAAAACATTATATATTATATATTAAAATAAAATCAATTTTGAATAATAATTCTTTCGATAAAATTTCGTTCTGTTATACCACGTGCAGGAATATAAAAGCATTCTAGTGACAGGTGTATCATGAAATTTGTTTTTTAAACAGCTTTTATAGAATTTAGAATAAAGCACTGACTATAATTATATGTTATGTTATGTTTTATTTTATCAACAATTATTTTCATTTTCATCGAATAATTTCTATATAAAATTTCATTTTTAAATCGATAATCATAATATAAATCTGTCTCTTTCAAAGTCATACATTTCGCAATCTGAATTTGTTCAATAATATTAAACGTTTTTATTAATAAATATTATCTATCATCAATAGGATAAATTGTCAAATAAATAATTTAAAAATTATAAATTGAAGTCTAAAAACAAATGATTCTAGAGAACAATCTTTCGATACATATAAAATAAGTTAGAATCATATTATATATATAGTCGATTATTTTAACACAAATGTAACACACATCTGCATCTAACATTTCTCTTATTTCACATCCTTAATTACTAAATAATTGAAGATTGGTACTTACAGTACTTCATAGTTGATGATTTTCCCTCGTCAACTTCAATCTTACGCTGGCTATTGAATTATATCTGCAATATAATAAACACGCGGTCGACAAGGCGTGAAATCACGTGTAGCGTAACTCCGGTATACACATAGAATTCTTGACGATCTTGACGAAAGAACACGCACGTCATAAATGCATCTCGACGAAGAAGAACTAATGATTCATCCAGTCATTGATCACTACGAAGTACACATAATGTCGACGATTTCGGTCTCGCATTTGAGCAATCGAATCTTAATACGAAAAGATCGATCTTTATGATCAACTCGAACCGATGTCACAATATTTATTCTCAAGATCGTGAACTCACATCGATCTATATACACAGTCAGTTTCCAGTGACTCTTTCTGCCACCTATGCGCGGTCTCTTCGAATTCTCTCTTGCACACAATGTTACGAAGAAAAAGGTATTCACTAAGTTCAGTTAGGTCAAGTGTTTTCCCGACGTAGTCTCGAGAAGCACTTGTTGATTCCGGACGAGCATAGTTCTGACCAGAACGCTGAGAACCACACCTTACGAGAGACTATAGTGAATATACGGATCGAGTTGAAAGGCCCTCGCCCGTGAGACTACATCAGGTACGTAGCTAGCATACAAAGCTCATTGTACACAATCAATTCACGTTTCTTCCGATTTTATAATATAATGCACGAAATTTTTTAACTTTTTAAATAATAAATAAAAAAAGAAAAGTGATGACTAAGTATAATAGAGAAATATGAGTAATATTTTCAATTTTTCTTTCTATACATAGATTGAGTTCAGTTTATCTATTTTATTTGATTTTGACAAGTATATCTTTTACGAGAAAAAAAATATTATTAAATATCAATTTTTCTATTTTATAAATAGTTCAAAATATTAATAAAAACGCTGAAAAACGTTACAAAAATATTTAATTATATCTAGATTTATTTTACATCCTGCAATATTGATTAAGAATCGTAGTTTTATTTTGAAAGAACAAATAAAAAAAAGGTGCGACATATTAAAATGCTGTACCTTGATCTTTGACAAAGAAAGTATCAAATATCAAGGTGAAGTGCACGAGGATAGACATTCAATGGCTTATAAATTATCATAAATAATTTATATATATATATATATATATATATATATATATACATATAAATAAAATTATATTATATACATATTATATTTAAATACAAAAATTTATATCAAAGAATGTAATTATACTTTCATAAAATTATTTTAGGTTATTCACAATTAAATATAATTTATTGTTTAACATTAATTTAATTATTTTATAATAATATATTTTGAAAATAATGAAATGTTATAAGTTATTAATATTCGAAAGAAATAAATTTTTTAAAAAACCCGTTATGCCCGGCACTGAATAATTAGTAAGCTCTCAGCGTACTTGCTTAAGAAATCATTCAAACACACTCGTCTTGGGCCGTCCCTGAGCAGTTGTAAAGAGAGAGGGACTAACTACTTACCTCCAAAACGGGGGTTTGGCGTACCGTACGTTCACCGTGCGGCATTCACCTCAGTTTTATCGACGTATTTTTCTTGTTCCTTCTCTTTTTTCCCAACAAACTCTTCTCCTCTCTTAATATCCTATGTTCGCTTATATGTATATTACATACTTTTCTTCTATTTCTCAACCGATAACTATGTCGACCTCAAAAAATTTCTGTTATACCATGCGAATTGGTTCGAATTGATCTGTTCTTCAAAACTTATAGGAATATTTACAAAAAATTGATTTCAGGCAAGTTTTCATTGTTTGTTTGTTCTTATATATACAAAATTGTTTGTATTGCAATTTACATATACCATTTCAATATACATTATATAATATTTTATAAATTTTATTTAATGTAAAATTTAATTTAAACAGAAAGAATCACAAAAATCAGTTATCTATAAATATGTTTTGAAAGCGCAAAGAAATATAAAAGATAAATCTAATTTAATCTAATGACTGTGTTTTATATTCTGAAATACCGATTGCAAAAAAAATTAATGCTTTTTTTTTTAAAAAGTATTTTTTTAAAAAATATGCTTTCTACAATTTAAAATAATAAATGCAAGAATTACATTTAATTAAGTCGCAAAAGCTAGTCAATAAGAAAATAATTTTTTTTATGTATTCTTTTTTTTTTAAATTTTTTAAATATTATAGTAATGACAGATTCATGTAAATATGTATTGAATTACTTATGAATTAAAAATTATACTTATATTTTTTATTGCAATACAATAATATCAATTTATGAGATTTTTTAAATGAATTTAGATAAACTGAATTTATTTATATATATTATTAGAAATTAAATAGATGTTAGTTGTAAATGTTATAATAAATAAATTTATCTTTTAAATATGTAAATTTTACAAAGTATATAGACAAAAAAAAATAAATAGAAAAAAAAAACAAAAAGAATAAAAATATGAAAATCAGCGCCATCTTCAGAGTGCCACAGATAGAGACGAAATAGATAAAAATAGTATAAAAATTGACTATTAGTGCCATCTTTTGAATCTTTCTAGAGATTTGATAATGATTGTATTGAAACTATCGGTATGTTCACTATTGATATTATCTATTGATTATAATGATTGTCGATAGATGGAACTTGTAGACCGTGCGAGATCTGATTCAAATTTCACTTATGAATATTTTCTACATTATTAAAAATTTAAAATTAAAATTTAAAATTTTCTCTATTGTTTTTTTCAATATTTGTAAACTACAATTATCTAGACATTTAATTAATTACTTAAGCAATTTCAAAAAAACCAAATGACTGATAAATCAATCTATCCTAATTTCCCGCAAATCATACGTAAGCCTTCCATTCTGTGAAGAAGTGTGCGCGAGCGCGAAAATACACAAGTTACGCATGTGTATTTCGTATCGTGTGAACAAGTTTCCTTTCACGACTTGTCTTATGCGGACGCATCTTTTAATTCTAACGCGAAACTCAATCCAGCATTTTACGTATTTCGAAGGAAAACGCGAATGAAATAGTTTAAAAACTGCATTCTATTATCGACAAGGACGAAATTTTCCGTTACCGATCATATATATTATTGCAACAAGTCTTCGAAGCTGTTGACATGTCACTATTCGCATGTTGCATACGTCGGGTAAGTTTTTGTATTCCCGACGTATTTATTAAATTATTGTATAACTTTTTAAGAAAAAAAAAATTTGACGAAAATCAACTATATTACGAACTCGAATTATTTTAATACAGGTAAAAATAATAACAATATGAAATATGAAGTGTTTCAATTTCTACTATGTATATTTCTGTTCTCGGAATAATTGGAAGATTATTTATTTTTATATAAATATTAATAAATTATTATTAGTAATTATTTCTCTTCTTTATGATTAAAAGTAATATTTTTTAAACATTTATAAATAAAGATATATAGGATAATATAATTGAATTCGATAATTTCAATTTAAATAAAATGTGTATAAATAAATATTACACATTTATTAATAATATCTCAGTATTCTAGTTAATATGAAGCATATTAATGCACATATATTTAATTTAAAATTATTGCAATTTTCTAATTAATCATTTATTCTTACTTTTAGGAAAAACTTAAATCTTTAAATTTCATCACATAATTTTTTAAAATATCCTTCTATTGAAAATTTTATTTATTTCCTTCTAAAAGTCAAAATAATAAATATAAGAAAAAACTATGTATATTAGAAATTATTTAAATCCATAAATAAACGAGCAAGTATAACAAAAACTTTGCGTTTCAATTTATGAAAATCAATGGATACTTGAGAGAAAATGTAAGATCTTAGTTCATCAATTTATTTGAAAATAATACTAAAATTTCCTCATCCTATACGATTAATTAACTTAGAATGGAGATGAGTTAATATCTCAAGCAAATAACAGCATCATAATAATAACCAAATGAAATTTTATATGAAGAGTTTTTTTCAATCCTTCATTTTCATTTTATTTTTATAAAATAATTACATTTCACAATTATGTATAAATACATGTTAAATAAGGATACAAAATGAAATCAATTGTTTACCAGAAAATATAAAAAATTAGTGCTGAGTCGATTTTTCCATGGCCGTGGGCTAACCTTAATTCTTGCTCACCCCTGTCGTTCAGGTGGCAGAATCGGTAAACAGAAAAATGAAGTTAACTTCGCGTTACGGGGTTGCCGGGGGCTGGGAGCATGTTCAACGTAACTCGCTAGGGTGAACGGATACATTTTCCGCTACTTAACGGATTTCATGCTCAAGTATCAAAGAGATCGCGTCCTTGCTCTAATCAGTGCTTGTATTAATAGAACACGACTTTAGTTTTTAGTAAATTTTCTTAGGATCCTTGCTTCTTTATTATTCACAAGTCGCGATGTAAGGTAAATGTCCCAATTTCTATTCACTTTCTTATTTGCTAATTATTAAGTTGATAACAACAGTTGTTAAAAAAAGATATTTTTAAATTATTTATTACGGAGAGTTTTGCATCAATTTGAAAAAAAAAATTGAAAACAAGAAACTTATTTTCATTAATATATATTATAATAAACGATATAAAGAATAAAAAAGTGAATCTGTTTTCAAAGAGTGATTGAATTGGAAATTATTATTTTTTAATTCTAAACAATATAGTAAACTAGATATTGAGAAATTTATCTTATTACCATATAATTTTATCTTATCTTTTGATCCATTAACGTTACATATATATATAAAATTTTAATTTATGTCGAATCGTTCTTTTTTAACCCTGTTTAATAGACTTTAAATATATTGATTCGAAATAAAAATCATCGTTAATTTTTTCGATATTTCTCGATTCTTTTTTCATTTTATATTTCACAGAATCAACCACAAATGGATGACACCCGTCAACAGGCATTGTTGAAGGAACCACCGGAAATATCGTGGGAGAATACGCTTGGGGCACCGGATGGTGTTCCTTTTGATGACGACACGAAGGAACTTCTCAGAAGATGTATCGACGTGTCGACATCAACACCTACGACCCTGACACAAATCATGAAACGAAGCGAGGCCTTTCCTATAAATTTTCCAATTAACACCGTAAGATGTTCTGCTCTGAAAGAAAGAGGAATTAGCACAAACATCCTCGAGGTTAGACCATTAAAATTTCTTAGATATTTCCTTCCCTCTTCATCGTATCCCGTATTGAATATAAAAGAATTATAATTAATATAATCATATGCATATTTGCATACATATTTTAATGTAATTTTTAAAATCGTATCTTAATTATTGTTAAGTATTATTACTTCCATTTCAAATTCAACATTTGAGGTCCCAGATTTAATTGTAGATGAACGCGAATTCGGTTTACCCTTTGATACATGAGGCGATGTTACCATTGCTGGCTCGATGGTTAAAACACAAACGATTATATGGCAGTGCAATCGAGAGGGCCATGTATAAGGATATGGGTTTGGTGCAATTTATTCATCGTTTACTGGAGAAGAGAGCTGTACATTTTTATGAGCCTGTCGATTCGTGGAAATTAATCGATGGCAAAACAGGAGTGAATGGATGGGAGAACGTTGGAACGGATCAAGAAAAAGAACCTTTGGTCAGTTATCTATCTTACTTGTACAATATTTTCAACAAATATTTAAATATTATACGTATTTTTCAATTGGATTAAGAACAATTGTTTTGAGAATTATTTTGAAATCATTGATCATATATGTGTGAACTTATTGCAGGTATTAACGAAATGTTTATCGTACGACGAGATCAAATTATCCGCGATGATGGCGATGTCCTCCCACACAGAATTCATAAACAACGGTTCACGAGACAATGAAGGCGTCGTGAGTACCGATCCAGACTCTGTACAGCCGAGAGGAGTCATTATAGGTGTCGTGGGATCAAGGTTTTTTATATGTTTATTTAACAAAACTATTGGATGCTTATTAGAATTCTTTTAAATATAAATACGTTTTGATTTTCTTTCCAAAAGATCGCATTTTTCACTTCTTTTGCCTGTTGTTTGCAGATTTGAACGACCAACCGTTATGGAATATCAAGACATTCTTATTACTCCTCAACAAAACACTGTCGACAATGGGTGAGTTATTTGAAATTTATTATAATAAATGTATCTTAAAATACAAAAATGTTTGTAAAGTATTTGATAAAAGATTGCACATCTGCACAATAGATATGGATCACAAACAAGTGGAAGCTCGGAAGAAAAGCATGAACTGCGCGTTTTATGGGCGAAATTCTATGGTGAAGAATACCATCCGCTCTACGAGGAAGCGGTGAAGCGACTCAAAGCAAAAGACAACAAAAGATATCTTTCAATAAATAATCAAACAATTTTTGACATCGAAAATTATATGAAAAGAACACTGCTCACTGTAGAAATCATACTTCTCGAAGCAAACACACGAGCAGAGAAGCAAAACACAACTGCTTTCTTGCACGTCGTAGGTTTTGGTCTGGGTAAGTTTAAAGTATCCCATTTACATTTAAGTAATTTAATCTTACATAAATATTTTACCTCGTAGAAATATTCATAATTTATTATCTATTAGAATAATTACGTAATCGTTGTAAATTTCCACGTGAAAAAATATTTTCAGGTATATGGAAGGTAATCCAAGATCAAGAGATATATTTCCTAAAGACATTCGAGATTGCTCTCAGAAAGATGAATAAGAAACTGAGATATGTATCGGACATAATGTTCGCGTATTTCCATCAGCAAAAGTGCGGCGACGCTGAAAACGGCGACTATCTCGGAGGTTTGTCGAGAGGACATTTAACATGTTCATTTAACAGAGACAATCGTTACAAATCGACACGTTATCTTTCAGATATAAAGATACACTTCGCTCTCAGAGAACCTCACAGCAAACTGACCAGACCCTCGGACACGAACAAACTTCTCGTGGTTACATACGCATGGGATGGAAACGCGTTACCAGGTTTTAGAACAGTTTACTTTAATTAAAATTATCCTTGATGAAAAAGAATTTCGTTATTTTTACAAAATTTATTTATTAAAATCAGTCGTTTAAATTACAGGAAACGAATTCTGGGCTAGAAAATTATCATCTAACGGGAACACTGCAACAGCGTGCAGTACACAAGTCGCGGAATTACACACATTCAGGATAAATCCTCGAGCATGCGGAGCCAGCTTGCACATTGCATCTGCCCAGCATGGTATTTTGCACATATCGGATTACGCAAAGTTACATCTTGCTTAGGTGAATAATTCTTGAATGGATAGCTAATCCTTAAAGCAAGTATGGTAATAACGGGGATTTTTTTAACCCAGGAAAGGGCTGGCCCATTGGGCACCAGTCAACGAAGACCATCTCGATCTCCTCGTAGCCAAAGAAGTCGTAGTGCAGATGTAGATTGCTTGAAGAAATACACGGAGAGACGTGTCGAGGAAAGAAGGCACACAGAGATACCTGACACGAGCAAACTCGATCCCTCCAGATGGATTCCACTGCCGAAAAATATTACACGTATCCAACCGGCATTAAAGAAATCACCACAGCCATCGAGAGACGAAGAGAAACGACGTTCGGTATCGAGCGAAGCTGAGGAAATCGTAACGGATATCGGTAGAAAAACGAGCGAGGGCACACTTCCAAAGAAATTATCTCCTACGAAGGAGGAAGAATCGACGAAGGGCTCCGAAGGGCAGAAAAACGATACGCCAATCACGTGCAGGCAGACGGCCGGCAGGAGTCATAGCGCGGACGTCACCCATATAAAGAAAGAGAAACTGGTCGAGGAACGAAGGAATACGGAATGCAGCGACCCCAGAACGATCGCGACGAGGTTGACAGAGCACATTTTCCTAGTCAAAAAGAAACCGATGCCATGAATGAATTCGATTTAATATCGCGTACACTCGTGATAAGTACCGAAAACGTTGCACTAACTGTAATAATAATCGATCACTAGAGATTAACTATGTCGTCTATGCAAATTATATGTAAATAGAATAATAATAATTCGATGTTGGTCATTGTGTGGATAGAAATGTATATGGTACAATGCCAAGACAAAACGCAGTTTTCGTTTGTTCGGTAAATATAACGTATAAAATATATATATATATATATATATTAAAAAAAAAGCAATAAAGCAAAAAAAGAAAACCGTTGATTAACTGACCATTTCTGGCGCTTAAGTAAAATCGAGTCTCGACAATGGATTTCTGATACCAAATACCTTTAGGTGGCTACCGCAAATTAACACCTCAAGGTTCCGCTACGATGCATCTCCGTTCGCAAGGATCAGCAACAGCTGCGAAATCACGAAAAACGCCGCGACCAGATGGATGACGTTCGTCAAGAATCCGTCTCCATGCCCGATACCGCGAATGAACCCGGAAAGAAAGCCTTCCGCGGCGGAAGCGTGTCACGACGCGACCGACAACTCCCAGATTAAAAAATGTAAAACAGAATCGCCCAAGTGGGAACCATTGCGAAAATTCGCGCCAATGGCGTCCAAGTCTGACACGGAAAGTAACCAAAAACAAGGTGAACAATAGCAAATGAATTTTATATACGCTACTATACGTTTAAAAAATATAAATGCATATCTCCGTGCGACGACGAATGAACAATGCTGCAAGATTTATATAAAAATTAATCCAAGTAATAATTTATAAGCATTAATCAATTGTGTATATCTCGGTGTAATTAATTATTTATCTAAACACCTGGTTGTATATTACAAAATATAATATAAATAAAATATTTGCCGCATATAAACAGAAATAATTGACCGTTGTTCCGAATATTCTTAAATTTTAAAATATTTAATTGCAGATAAGACGGAGTCGAATCGAGAGTTGTCATCATCGACAAAGCATTCCCCGGATGCCAACGAGCAATCTAAAAGGCTAACTCAACGCATGAGGGATCTGTACGATTTCAAAACGGAGAATGAATGGCCGAAGAGGGCGATAAATGCTCGACGTGGAAACACGTGGATCAGTAAAAGTAGCAGCGAAGAGGAAAGGGCGAGTCTATCGATTCGTAGAAATAGCCAAGATTTAGAATTCAACGATAGGATGAACGTGATCAAGGTAATAATCGTTATAAATAACAACAAATTTCTTTATATTTGTTTCCTACAATTTCGTATATCGAAAAAAAATATCACAGCTGAAAGACACGAGGGTTCAATCGGATCATCAAACGTCTAAACTAAAGAAAGAGGAGGATCGAGATATCGGTATAGATGTTTTCAACAGCGAATACGAGGAACGTTTAAGAAAATTCAACGACAAGCTTCGATTCAGCGAGGATCTTGGTACGGCCAAGCCAAAGATCAAAGAGAGACGAACGTACTCCGACGACTACGACGAGATATCTCGTCGAGCTTCCACGCGATCGACTCGTACAGAGGGTTCGATAAAATCGACGCGCACTGAGGATTCCGCTCGATTGACGCGTGCAGTAAGTTCAGTTCGATCGACACGATCGACGCGGGCGGAAGACACGCGAGAAAGTGGATTCCAGGGTGAGAAGAAGAGGCCTTCGGACGCTAGTGGCAAATCTAGGGGGAGTTATGCCGAGGTGGCTCCTCTAACCCCCGCGAAAAGAGACTCTCGTGCGAGTGATGCGAGTTACGCTAGCATCGCCAATTACTCCGGCAAACGAGCGAGCGTGGACTGTAAAAGCAACAGAAAAATGGTGGAACTTCCGCCGCGAAGGGCTTTCAGTCAAACGGAGGAGAGGCCATCGACTCCTGTCCCACCAATAGAATGGAACGACGATCGTTACGCGGCTGCTCGTCTCAAACAGATATCCGAACGCCAGAAGAGGGACAGTACGAGATATAAAGTGTACCTGACGTAAATTTCGAGAATTTATTTTTGATTCGTGAGTAAATGTGTTCATAAAAATTCCATTGACGAGAACATTCTCAAAAAAAAAAAAAAAAATTCGATTTTAAGGGGGGTAAGAAGATTTGAAATGTGAAAGATATCGAAGACGAAGGTAGATAGAGAAAAAAAAAAAAAAAATATGCGCTTTTGGTAAATTTTCATGGATCATTTATTTCGTCTGCTTGTGATCGTTACCGAGGCAATTATTTTAATCAAATGTTACATAAATGTAATCATTGAAAGTTTAACCAGCACTCAAAATCCTCCCCTTTTGCCACTTTTCAGTGTCAAGTTTAATATATGTGTATTGTACGGAGATGATATTTTATATATAAACGATCCTTGTATTTATAGCGACATTGTTGAATCATTCAATTATGAAAGGAATGTATCTCTATCTGTAAGTGTAAAGTTTGAACTTTTGAAATTTTCGATAAATGATGTTTGATATTGAAAGGGATGTCGCTTA